TGCCAGTAAGGCGTAGCGGCACACCTTACCCGTCCCCAAGTCTTTTCCAGCCTCGAAGGGACCAAGAACATCCACCGACATAGTGAATGCAGTAGCCGCAGTGCGACTGCGCCGATGAGGGGTTTGAGTGCCCATCGATTCGATGCAAGTGCGGCAGTCCCGCCTGAAGGGTGTGTGCTGTTGGCGAACGTGGCGACGCCAACCAGCCAAATCCATCTTGGACAACTGAACCACCTCCTCCTTATCCTGCAAGAGAAGACATAGAGAGGTCTGAATGGCCTTGACCAACCCAGGAGACCATGTAGCCCACGAGCGAGAGCGAGCCATTCTCTCCTCTAGCTCCCCCCAAATAGGTCCACACTGGCCACCCCCCCACCTTCACATTCAGCTGCTCCATCAAAGGAAGATTCGTGAGAAGTCCTGTAGGCTTGCGGCGCTCGTGCCCAGTCGAGCCTTGATCGAAGTTCACTATGAGCATGCTTTCTGCTTCAAGCATCTGCCGGAGCTGAGGCCATTCAAAGTAGGAGGGCGTTTCCTCCGCCTCAGGGCCCGTCAAATAGTCAGCGGGGTCCATTGGAGATTCCAGAAGGAAACCTGTGCGAATAGAACTCTTTCTGTTTTCCTCCGCCAACTTCCACAAGCCAAGGTGCTTGAAAACCAAGATGGTGTCTCCCACCACCAGCTCAAGCTCCTTCTGGGTGAGGTCTGGCACGCCCCACCGCAGTGAACCACGACCTCGAACCCGGAGGCCCTTTGTTCCGGAGCCGTGATACAGACCTGCATGGAGGGCCTCCAAGGATCGCTCGGATCCTGTTGCATCTGGCCAGGTGACATAAATATGCCCACACTGGCTCACTGTGGAGGTCAAACTGAGAACCCAGCAGAGTGTCTATGTGAATCCAGGTGTAGCCAGGAGGCGCATCCTTCTTCCACCTCCCAGTGTCAGCACCCGAGAAAAGGTGCACGATCACACCCTTAGAATTCATGTGGGCCCGACGTTGGCGTCTATTCCATGGTACTTCAGCTCCCGAAGGTGTCTCCAATGTACCCTTCATGGCCTTCGCAAAGTCCTCGGGAATGCCAGGAAAGCGAGAGCGCCACCATGCCAATTCTTCTTCACTTGGACCTTGTTGGCCCATCTCCAACTGCTCAAACTCCTGAAGCATTTTCAGTGCGCTGGAGCGATTCATCACTGGACAGCCTGCCCTCAACCAGCAGCGAATTGGACCATGTCGTGGATGCTGTATCACACATCCCTGTCTGGACCACTGTATCTTGAATCCATGCTGGACAAGAAGGTTGAGTGGAATTATTGGTTCCACTGGATCTAACGAAAGCAGTGTGCTGCAGTGAGGCTTCTTGTACAGAGTGGTTGAACCATGCGCAAGCTCCACCTGAACCGGAGAGAGGTCATCTCGCTCGTGAGGTTCGACCATCCGGGGAGGGTTTGTTGCCCCTCCGTCTAGGAGGGCCACTGGGTCATCCAAGTTCATGCCAGCCAATACCACCTGTTTGACTCTGCAAGCCTTCATCGATCTTAGCGACTTCAGCAAACTAGTCGCTTCTGCAATCAAAGCAGTTGCCGCGTCGGTAGATGGGGCTGCAACCTTTTCCACATTTTCGCTGCCAGATGCCTTAGACTTCTTCGAGGGCGTCGAGCTCGAAGTGGCTGTAGGTCCAGTCACCTCCTCATTCACCTTGGATCGTGAGACTTCTTCCGACGGCTTGGATGTGGCCTCACTTGAGCTCTGGGCACCTTTAACCTTTGACACTTTCTTCACGTCTCGCAAGCTCCGGTCCTTCTTGGTCGGGCAGTCCTTGGCAAAATGGGACTCTCCAGAGCACACAAAACAACGGTTCTCCTTCGGCACGTTCTCCCATGAGTGTAAGAAAGTGCACTGTTCGCCCTTTCGACATCCTGCAGTCGTGCCCCAATATCTGCAAGTAGCTTTTGACTTCTCTTCAGAGGATCCAGATTGCAAAGCCTTGATCGTTGCAACGGGCTGGGTAGCATTCACTGCTGGAACTGCACCAGAAGCACTCTTGGGCACAGCAATCACAAGTGCGAGGTCTTCCAATTCTGCTTGGAGATACTCACTCAGGTCCTTGATCGAGCTCATCCCAGGTCTCTGATCGACTAGCAGTTCTTGGCGGACCGTAGAAATTCTATAAGCAACCTGGCTGCCCCCCAACTTTGACATCGAGTCCATCAGCTTGCCAAGCACGTTCATCAAGATAAGGGGATCAGGCAAGGTCACCTTCAGTTCTTCAGCCCGCTGAAGTTGGCGCCGCCACTGTCTCATTGTGGCCAGCAAGTCAGGGATCGTGTGACCGACCTTGACCTCTGTCAAACTCTTCAGCAAAGTCGTGCGTTCAGCACTGCCTCCAGGTTGGTAGACAACGAAGAGCCTGAACAAAATGCTCACGGTCGTGACATTTCTGGCCGAAATCACGTCGCGCCTCAACTGATCTGGCAACACACTCAAAAGCAACGAAACTCCTCTTTGTTCAACACGCTGGTGAAGAGGGTCCACAGTCACCTCCTTTGGCTTCAAGCGAAGGCGCTCCAAGGGCGTGGCCACAAGCCACTGCTCATACAGCTGCTGCGCTGCTTCCAAGCAACCATCCCACCAGAGCTGCGATGTAGATGACAAATCCGACATCAAAGGGTAAGCCACAATCAACCAATCACCAAAAAGAAGCGCAGCTCCATCCGTGGCAGGATGAGGCAAAGAAGGAAGCTCCAAGCTGCGAACCGCCTCTGGCACCACCGTCGGTGCAGCCACCATGCCCCCAGGAAGTCGCCCTCCAGGTAGTCCAGGGGGAAGATCCAGTCCCATAGATCTTGACCCTGAAGCATCAGCGCCTAGAGTTGGCTTAGCTCCCAACACCTTAGGGCCTTTCTCCACACTCATTGCACTAGCCTCCCTTTTCACATCCGCACCGGCACTGGCTGCGGACACGTAGGAAGAAGTTGCATCTCCTCCATCAGTAAGTCGCTTGACTTCACGCTCAAACAACTCTTGTGCCTCCTTCA